TTGCTGATTGGCTACAAGTTTGTTTTGCTAGTCGGCCCGAATCAGTTTTCTAAAGCGTTTTTGAAAACTCGCTTACCCCACCTTTAACAGGTTTTTACTGGAGCATTTTACAGGGTTTTTCTATAAAAAAAGTTTTTTATGGCATTGTACTTCCTGTATTTTTACATTTTAATGAATAATATACGAGTGAAGGATGTGGACGAGTGGCGTTTTGTTACTGAGGTTTGTTCTGCTCACATACGGTCTCATAAACTCTCCACAGGACTTTCTCACCAGTGTTGCACACTCACACATGTACGCTCGCTCTGGGCTGTCAGTAATGAGTCCAGAACCCCAGACTCAGAGCAACAGACGCAGGGTTTCCCTCAGGGGTCAGAGGTCATGCTGGTTTGGGACAGGAAGCCTGCTGCGCTGGACTCTGTTGGGCCCTCGGTGGCTCTGCTCTCCCGCCAGTGTGCCGTTTGATACTGACCTGCTTTATGTCACAGAACACAGTCTATAAATCTCTCTCTGCTTCCTTTTGTAGCGGAAGAAACTTGAGCGTTCAGGTGAAAATGAACATGCAGGTCTCCTGCAGAGAGCCAGGGGCTCCGTTCATATGTGTGTGTGTGTGTGTGTGTGTTGCACACACATTTAACTCTATCAGGGGTCAGAGGTCATGCTGGTTTGGGACAGGAAGCCTGCTGCGCTGGACTCTGTTGGGCCCTCGGTGGCTCTGCTCTCCCGCCAGTGTGCCGTTTGATACTGACCTGCTTTATGTCACAGAACACAGTCTATAAATCTCTCTCTGCTTCCTTTTGTAGCGGAAGAAACTTGAGCGTTCAGGTGAAAATGAACATGCAGGTCTCCTGCAGAGAGCCAGGGGCTCTGTTCATATGTGTGTGTGTGTGTGTGTGTGTGTGTTGCACACACATTTAACTCTATGACATCCTTTGCTTGATTTTAAAGACTATTCAAATCATGGATATTACAGATCACACACATTTTCAGCCCTTGTGTGTGTGATACAGTAATAGTGAATCCGATCAAACCTATATATAGCATATGTGTCTTGCTCCTTAGGAACTCTGGGAGTGGTGACTGAAGTCACACTGAAGATCCGACCCATTCCTGAGTATCAAAAGTACGGCTCCGTTGTCTTCCCAAACTTCCAGCAGGGTGTGGCGTGCCTGAGAGAGGTGGCCAGACAGGTCAGTACTGGACTTCATTGGACTCAAAAAATGATCAAACAGTAATACTGAAATACTATTACAGTTTAAAATGTTTTCTATTTGAATACATTTTAAAATGTAATTTATTCCTGTAATTTCAAAGGTGAATTTTCATCTTTACTCCAGTCTTCAGGCCCTTACGAACATTAACCATGGATTTACAAACAAACAAAAAAAAACATATGGTTATTGTGGTTAAATCTTGGTAATCACAAATTAACCATGGTTCTGCTACACTAACCATAGTTTAACCCACCAAAAAACTTTTTTTTACACTTTTACTATAATAAAACCAAAATCAAAAATCATCCTAATATGCGGAGTTGCTGCTCAAGAAGCGTTTCTTATCCGTGTTGAAAACCATTTTTGCTGCTTAATATTTTTGTAAGAAACGTGATATATTTTGTCAGCATGTCTTCGAATAGCAATAACATTATAAATGTCTTTACTGTCGCTGTCACAGGGTTTTACCACGTTTTATGTTTTAGCATAATTTTAGCTTGTTTTAGTCCATCGCTAACATGTTGCTAGCATGTTTTAACATGTTTACAGCATGTTTCTAGCACATTTTAACACTAACCGCTAACATGTTGCTTTGATGTTTCAGCATTATGATAACATGCTAATTTACAAATTAGCACATTGCTAACATATTTATTGGATGTTTCAGCATGATGATAGCATGGTTTGGTGTGTTTATAGCACATTTTAACACGTTAGCATGCTGCTTGGATGTTTCAGCATGATGATAGCATGGTTTGGTGTGTTTATAGCACATTTTAACACGTTAGCATGCTGCTTGGATGTTTCAGCATGATGATAGCATGGTTTGGTGTGTTTATAGCACATTTTAACACGTTAGCATGCTGCTTGGATGTTTCAGCATGATGATAGCATGGTTTGGTGTGTTTATAGCACATTTTAACACGTTAGCATGCTGCTTGGATGTTTCAGCATGATGATAGCATGGTTTGGTGTGTTTATAGCACATTTTAACACGTTAGCATGCTGCTTGGATGTTTCAGCATGATGATAGCATGGCTTAATGTGTTTATAGCACATTTTAAAACGTTGGCATGCTGCTTGGATGTTTCAGCATGATGATAGCATGGTTTGGGGGGTTTATAGCACATTTTAACACATTAGCATGCTGCTTGGATGTTTCAGCATGATGATAGCATGGTTTGGGGGGTTTATAGCACATTTTAACACATTAGCATGCTGCTTGGATGTTTCAGCATGATGATAGCATGGTTTGGGGGGTTTATAGCACATTTTAACACATTAGCATGCTGCTTGGATGTTTCAGCATGATGATAGCATGGTTTGGGGGGTTTATAGCACATTTTAACACATTAGCATGCTGCTTGGATGTTTCAGCATGATGATAGCATGGTTTGGGGGGTTTATAGCACATTTTAACACATTAGCATGCTGCTTGGATGTTTCAGCATGATGATAGCATGGTTTGGGGGGTTTATAGCACATTTTAACACATTAGCATGCTGCTTGGATGTTTCAGCATGATGATAGCATGGTTTGGGGGGTTTATAGCACATTTTAACACATTAGCATGCTGCTTGGATGTTTCAGCATGATGATAGCATGGTTTGGGGGGTTTATAGCACATTTTAACACATTAGCATGCTGCTTGGATGTTTCAGCATGATGATAGCATGGTTTGGGGGGTTTATAGCACATTTTAACACATTAGCATGCTGCTTGGATGTTTCAGCATGATGATAGCATGGTTTGGGGGGTTTATAGCACATTTTAACACATTAGCATGCTGCTTGGATGTTTCAGCATGATGATAGCATGGTTTGGGGGGTTTATAGCACATTTTAACACATTAGCATGCTGCTTGGATGTTTCAGCATGATGATAGCATGGTTTGGGGGGTTTATAGCACATTTTAACACATTAGCATGCTGCTTGGATGTTTCAGCATGATGATAGCATGGTTTGGGGGGTTTATAGCACATTTTAACACATTAGCATGCTGCTTGGATGTTTCAGCATGATGATAGCATGGTTTGGGGGGTTTATAGCACATTTTAACACATTAGCATGCTGCTTGGATGTTTCAGCATGATGATAGCATGGTTTGGGGGGTTTATAGCACATTTTAACACATTAGCATGCTGCTTGGATGTTTCAGCATGATGATAGCATGGTTTGGGGGGTTTATAGCACATTTTAACACATTAGCATGCTGCTTGGATGTTTCAGCATGATGATAGCATGGTTTGGGGGGTTTATAGCACATTTTAACACATTAGCATGCTGCTTGGATGTTTCAGCATGATGATAGCATGGTTTGGGGGGTTTATAGCACATTTTAACACATTAGCATGCTGCTTGGATGTTTCAGCATGATGATAGCATGGTTTGGGGGGTTTATAGCACATTTTAACACATTAGCATGCTGCTTGGATGTTTCAGCATGATGATAGCATGGTTTGGGGGGTTTATAGCACATTTTAACACATTAGCATGCTGCTTGGATGTTTCAGCATGATGATAGCATGGTTTGGGGGGTTTATAGCACATTTTAACACATTAGCATGCTGCTTGGATGTTTCAGCATGATGATAGCATGGTTTGGGGGGTTTATAGCACATTTTAACACATTAGCATGCTGCTTGGATGTTTCAGCATGATGATAGCATGGTTTGGGGGGTTTATAGCACATTTTAACACATTAGCATGCTGCTTGGATGTTTCAGCATGATGATAGCATGGTTTGGGGGGTTTATAGCACATTTTAACACATTAGCATGCTGCTTGGATGTTTCAGCATGATGATAGCATGGTTTGGGGGGTTTATAGCACATTTTAACACATTAGCATGCTGCTTGGATGTTTCAGCATGATGATAGCATGGTTTGGGGGGTTTATAGCACATTTTAACACATTAGCATGCTGCTTGGATGTTTCAGCATGATGATAGCATGGTTTGGGGGGTTTATAGCACATTTTAACACATTAGCATGCTGCTTGGATGTTTCAGCATGATGATAGCATGGTTTGGGGGGTTTATAGCACATTTTAACACATTAGCATGCTGCTTGGATGTTTCAGCATGATGATAGCATGGTTTGGGGGGTTTATAGCACATTTTAACACATTAGCATGCTGCTTGGATGTTTCAGCATGATGATAGCATGGTTTGGGGGGTTTATAGCACATTTTAACACATTAGCATGCTGCTTGGATGTTTCAGCATGATGATAGCATGGTTTGGGGGGTTTATAGCACATTTTAACACATTAGCATGCTGCTTGGATGTTTCAGCATGATGATAGCATGGTTTGGGGGGTTTATAGCACATTTTAACACATTAGCATGCTGCTTGGATGTTTCAGCATGATGATAGCATGGTTTGGGGGGTTTATAGCACATTTTAACACATTAGCATGCTGCTTGGATGTTTCAGCATGATGATAGCATGGTTTGGGGGGTTTATAGCACATTTTAACACATTAGCATGCTGCTTGGATGTTTCAGCATGATGATAGCATGGTTTGGGGGGTTTATAGCACATTTTAACACATTAGCATGCTGCTTGGATGTTTCAGCATGATGATAGCATGGTTTGGGGGGTTTATAGCACATTTTAACACATTAGCATGCTGCTTGGATGTTTCAGCATGATGATAGCATGGTTTGGGGGGTTTATAGCACATTTTAACACATTAGCATGCTGCTTGGATGTTTCAGCATGATGATAGCATGGTTTGGGGGGTTTATAGCACATTTTAACACATTAGCATGCTGCTTGGATGTTTCAGCATGATGATAGCATGGTTTGGGGGGTTTATAGCACATTTTAACACATTAGCATGCTGCTTGGATGTTTCAGCATGATGATAGCATGGTTTGGGGGGTTTATAGCACATTTTAACACATTAGCATGCTGCTTGGATGTTTCAGCATGATGATAGCATTGGTTTAGTGTGTTTATAGCACATTTTAACACATTAACATGCTGCTTGGATGTTTCAGCATGATGATAGCATGGTTTGGTGTGTTTATAGCACATTTTAACATGTTAGCATGCTACTTGGATGTTTCAGCATGATGATAACATGGTTTGGTGTGTTTATAGCACATTTTAACACGTTAATATGCTGCTTGGATGTTTCAGCATGATGATAGCATGGTTTAATGTGTTTATAGCACATTTTAACACGTTAATATGCTGCTTGGATGTTTCAGCATGATTATAGCATGGTTTGGTGTGTTTATAGCACATTTTAACACGTTAATATGCTGCTTGGATGTTTCAGCATGATTATAGCATGGTTTGGTGTGTTTATAGCACATTTTAACACGTTAGCATGTTGCCTGGATGTTTCAGCATGATGATAGCATGGTTTAGTGTGTTTATAGCACATTTTAACACGTTAGCATGTTGCTTGGATGTTTCAGCATGATGGCATGTTTTAACAAATTGCTAGCAGATTTTAACATGGAAATCTTTCGTGACGTTATAAATGTCCTTTCACTTTTTTCAGCTTGATTTCATTGCTGAATAAAAGTATGAACTTCTTTAAAAAATCTTGCTGACCTCAGACCTTTGAATGCTACTGTATGTATTTAGCATTAAGTAGGCTATACCAAAAATATAAATGACACTGGTATAATTGTTATATAATATTAACTGATTTAGGCTTACTAGTATCTTATGTGATATATTGTGCATCTGCACATCTTTCATGCCGTATAACTGCTGTGTGTATTTGAGTGCTGCTATGGCATGTCTGTTTGAGAGCAGCATTGACTGGAAGGCTGGGATCTGTGTGAATGTGGTGAATAAGGCTGCGGCTCTCATTACAGTGTGTGTGCCTGGAGCTCTGCTCAGACTCTGCCTAATGGCCTTAGATCTCGGCCTCTCATTAGTCTGTGGGCCTGCTGCTGATGTTGTAGCCGTTATTGATGAGCGAGTGCAGTGTTAGCGTTCTGTACAGCACTGCTTCTTATTAGTCCATAAACAAACTGTGATCCAAGCTTAAAATTAAATTATTGATTATGCTATTCAGGACCTACACTGTTCCTCTCTCTGCATTTCTCTTTGCCCAAGGCTGCCTTTAAAAAATAAGGCTTTATTTTAATTGGAATATCATCTTGCTGTTGTGTAGGTGTTTCCTAAAATATACTTGCTGGGCAATGATAATAATATTGTAGGTTTGTTTTAAACTATGGGTGAGGGTCATTATACATCTCCATGTATTACTTTGTTTCTGTCTGAAGTTTCTTTTTCTTTATTTTTTGTTTCAGAGATGCGCTCCAGCATCCATTCGGCTAATGGACAACGAGCAGTTTCAGTTTGGTGAGTTTTGTTTTTCATTCATATTCTGTGGAACATAAAAGATATTTTGAAGAGTCTTTACACCGCTCTTTTACAGTGACTGTTCATAGTGAGGAGCTTCAGAAAGGAACAAAAAAAGTCACAACAAAGCAGCAGTAGTCCAAGCGACGCTGATAATCTTCCCTTCCATTGAGCTTTTAGCTTAATATTATCAACGAATAAGGATTTTCTGGTCCGTTGTGACCAGATGATTGAGTCTGTGAACTCATGAACTGGATCACTAAACTCTTTCAGTCTTGATTTGAACCGTGTGAACAAGTACAAAAGATCCACGTCTTTTCTGACTTGATAGTATAAAGTTTTGCTTGAAACAGAAGAAATTTTGGGGTGAGCTATTCCTTTAAATTAGGGTTTCCCAAGCTGAAGAATGTGGATAACCAAAATGTTTCGGGTCCCATTTACTTTTTTTTTGTCCGAACAGTGGAAATCATTTGGTTCATCAAACCATTTGGTTACCGACATTCTTTAAAATATCTTCTTAACAGAAGAATGCAAGTCGTGCAGATTTGGAATGACATGAGGGTGAGAGAACTATCCCTTTATTCTCAGGGGTTACTTCAAGAAAATATTTCATGTCAAAGGTGACTAAAAAGTTTGGAATCCCTGCTTTAAATAATGAAAAAGTAATAAATTTCTATTTTTTCTATTCAATTTCTAATAATTTAATTTAGTGTAATTTAAAATAAATTCTTATCCAGTCATCACGAATGATTGGGAAAGTCATGTAAAATCATTGGTCAAAAATGTTGCGGTTGCTGGGATCGTCAGAAAATGTTTTACGAAGGAGCGGGCCAAGATGAAGGGAAAACGGTGACGCAAAGCATGCCGTGTGGGAGTGCAGGGTGTGTTGTCATGGTTACAGTGCTGACTCAGAAGGGCTGGCGAGTAGTAGACCTTGTGTCCTGCGTGGGCTGATCTCAGATCAGCACTGCTCCAGCCAGAAAGAGCAGTTACACATGCAGTGATCTGTTTGCTTTGGGAAGACATGTTTTGCGATTTACATTCATGCTTATGTGCATAGCAGATGCTTTCTTAAAGACGGCGCGTATATTTTAAAAATAATCATGGTCCTGAACACTCATAGTGCCACTTCCTCCCTGCACCCCTCTGTCATTGTTCAGACAACAGGACTGTTATATTAAGTTAGAACCTGGGTTATGTTGTACTCAAAGTTCAAACATTAATGCTGGACCAACAAATCAGATTTAATGTGCAATTGCTGATTCATGCATGACGCAAAATACCGGAACAGACACTGGTTGATGTGAGAATGAAGATATTAATATTTTAATAAAATATGTTAGAAAAATAGCATTAATATTCATTGCAGAAATCATTTAATATGCTTAATAATAATAATAATTATTATTATTATCAAAGCAATTGTGTTGCAGAATATTTTAGTGGAAACTGTGATGCATTTTTTCAGGATTCTTTTATGAATAGAAAGTTCAAAAGAACTGAATTTATTTGAAATAGAAATTGTTTGTAACATTATAAATGTCTTTACTGTCACTTTTGTTCAATAAACATAATTTATTCCTTTCCAAAAAAAAAAAATTAAAATCTTACTGGCCCCAAACTTTTAAATGGTAGTGTACATTACATAATTCTTCTGTAAAATCATTGTGTAAGAAACTTCATTTTATTTTGAAAACGTACTCGGTTACTAACGTAACCTCGGTTCCCTGAGAACGCGGGTACAGTGCCGGCGTGAGATCGCTCAGACCCGGTTGCTTAGTTCCCAGGCTTCGTCGTTTCTCTCTCCGAGGCTTGCCGAGAGAGGAGAAACGTGAGAGCGGGTCTGCATAGTGAAAGGCGGTCCGCGAGTGGATAAAAGCGAGACTCATGCTCGAGTGAGCATTCTGTCTTAGTAAGCGCTCAGCTCACTGCCCTTCTGCGGCGGATCTGAGTGCAATGGAGAGAGAGCACGCAGGCACAGTGCCGGCATGAGATCAGTCAGACCGATTGCTTATTCCCTGACTCCGCTGTTTCCTTCTCCGAGGCTCGCTGAGAGAGGAGAAACGGGAGAGCTGGGCTGCTTTCCGTGAAGGCGGTCCGCGCATGGAGAAGAGCGAGACTCATACTCGAGTGAACATTCTGTCTCAGTAAGCGCGTAGCTCACTGCCCTTCTGCGGCGAATCCGAGTGCAACAGGGAGAGCGAGCATGCGGGTACAGTGCCGGGATGCGATCGCTCAGACCCGGTTGCTTAGCTCCCTGACGCCGTTGTTTCTCTCTCCGAAACTCGCTGAGAGAGGAGAAACGGGAGAGCGGGGCTGCCTCCAGTGAAGGCGGTCCGCGAGCAGAGAAGAGCGAAACTCATGCTCGAGTGAGCATTCCGTCTCAGCGAAACACCAGTCTCTGCGTGGGGTCTGCCCAGACAGATGACATATTCATTGCTCTTCTACATCGTGCAAGTTTCCCTGCACGAGCCACACTCGCAGAGCGACATTTGCAACAACGTCGCTAAAATTTGCTCTTTTAGGGCTTACCTGCTAGAAATAAGCTCTTTTAGACTCGCCGGATGGCAGCAGGGGAAAACGGACCGGAACTGCTATAGCCAGATGCCCCGCCCATTCTGGCGGGCTTTGGCAGGCTTCGCCGACATAGGCTCGTGCAGCTCCACTGCCGAGCCATTAGTTCGTTTTTTAAGCTCTGCACGAACCAATGGCCGTGAAGTTTCACTGCATGAATGAATAGGCTTCAGTTCAGGAGAAAAAATCTTTTTTCCCATATGTGTTTAGCAAGACTCAGTACGAGTGAAGTATCGAAAGGGAGCTCAATGTTATTTTTTTTTGTTTATTGACGCCGACATAGGCTCGTGCAGCTCCACTGCCGAGCCATTAGTTCGTTTTTTAAGCTCTGCACGAACCAATGGCCGTGCAGTTTCACTGCATGAATGAATAGGCTTCAGTTCAGGAGAAAAAATATTTTTTCCCATATGTGTTTAGCAAGACTCAGTACGAGTGAAGTATCGAAAGGGAACTCAATGTTATTTTTTTTTGTTTATTGAACATTTATACAGTAATCTTAATGCTATTATTTACATAATTACATAAAAGGCTTTAGAGACAGTTATCTGTTTTCATATTCCCATCCACAGAGATGAATTGGAAGATTTAGCATTTGAGAGCTTTGTTTTGGTTTTTATTACTTGTTGTTGTTGTTTTGTGTATTCATTACATCAAGAGGTTTAATTTGGTCTGGAGTAATTTATCTCTGGAGAACCCCCCACTCGCGCCGCCTCGTATAAAGAAAAATTGATCTTTATTTTACCAGCTGAGCAGCAAACGAATGCACAAACACACAATTCAGGAACAATGAAAAATGGCCCTGGCAGCAGTTAAGCTCACAGTGCAGCCGAGGTTTATAACGTTACATGCGGAGATATGGGGGAATTTGTGAGGGGTTGCCAGATATATCTGGAAAAGTTCCCCCCGTCCCCAGGGATCTCATTAACTCCTGTTTCGGCTCTGTGTTTTCATCGACGGTGCACTTCTGAGAGGCAGAGAGATGTATTGACTCTTTAATGAAGACTCCAGTCTCTGTAATCATAATGGTTTTTGCAGCATGCACACTCTTTAAGCCCAGAAGTGTGACTGTATTATTTTTATATCTAATCGCAACCAGAAGAAAAAGGGAGGTAATGAGTGTTGTAGTGCGTTCAGACACATTGGCTGTGTAATCTCAGAAAGGCATTGTAAGGGTTTGGACAACTAAAGGTCGCTGGGGCAGAATGTGACTGAAATGACTGAAAATCTGTTCTATGTAAGTGTTACTGTACCGCAAAGTGTATGATCAAAACATTGTCACCGGATTAAGTCATTTTATATCATGGTAAAGTACACTATTTATTGAATTTATTTATTATTCAAAAATGCAGTAAAAACAGTAATATTGCGAAATATTATTATTATTAAAAGTATCTCTCTTCTATCTAATTTATTGCTGTGATCAAAGCTGAATTTTCAGCATCATTACTCCAGTCTTCAGTGTCACATGATCCTTCAGAAATCATGATGTTGTACTACGTGCATTTTTTTAGAAACCATGATACGCAAGATATTGCATTTTTATAAATATTTTGTTTAGGCCTAATTCTGATTGGGTGAAGTATATTTGAAGCTGTTGCAAAATAGCTAATATGCACACTGTAACTGTACAACTGTTGAATTTTTAATAATGCACCAAGTTGTGACGTTATACAGCATCCACAAACTAAAACTAAATTCACTTAGATGCCTTACTTAAGTCTTCACGACTTATTTGGGACGCGTCCCACTCTGTTTTGTCACATTTCTGTATGTTTCTTAGTCATTAATGTGCGTAAATACTGATAGCCATGCAAATATATGTACCAAGGTACAAGTGATGTTGCAAAACCAGAAGACACATTTCTACTATTGAATGGCATCATCATAGCGCCCAGCGCTGAGAGACCGTATAGCAGATGGGAAATGATAGCGAGAGACAGGGGGAGTGTGAGTGGACACAACATGAGCCGAGGTTGATCTTGTGCCTCCCACATTAGCATGCTAACTGCTAGGCCACGGCTGGGACATTACTAGCATGTTTGATCAATTTCTCACACAGATTCATGTCAGTTTTCAGTCGATTTGAATTAATCGGAGATTTTGTTCGTTCTGCGGTGAATCGGACACACTGCGTGTGTGAGATTTAGCGACGTTTCTTATCAGAGGAGCTGCTATCAGGATGATTTATGACAAGCCCCCTGTGAAACATCCTCCCTGCATTCCCTCTCGCTCTTTCTCTCTCTGTGTCTCCAGTCATTACTGTGCTATTGTTCACACCGCTAATAAATCTGACACAAAGGCCTCTGGGAAATCCAAGGGGCAAAACTGAGGAATGTTTGGTGACATTAGAACAGTACGAGAGTCATTCGTTTCTCCTTTTTTAAAGAGAGGAAAGCTTTTGACTGAAAACACAACCCCTGACAAAAAAAGGGGGAAAAAAACTAAATGAGTGGGTATTTAATACTGAGGTTTATTGAAGATTTTACTAATGTTTTGACAGGTCACGCACTCAAGCCACAAGTGTCCTCCATATTCACGTCATTCTTGGACGGGTTGAAAAAATTCTACATCACAAAGGTGAGAAAGAACCGTAAATGTGTGTCAAGACCACAATTAGATACTATTACACCGCTCTCTAGGACGCTCCATTCTGATTGGTCAGTCACAGTATTTTGCATTTAAAGCAAGAAGCATTTGCAAGATTTAATTTTATGCACTGATATAATCAGCTCGTGAAAAGTAGGCTATATAATTATTGGTTAATAATTGTTTTAGTCACCCACACAGCCTTGAAATGAAACATCCTAGTATGTTCCTCCTTAAATTGGTCGATTGAATATTGATGGAGTGAACAGAATCAGACCATCAGAACTTAAATATAAGTGTTTGTTTATGTTTTTATTTATTTATTTGTGTTTGTGTGTGTGTGTGTGTGTTTTGGACAAAAACACAAAGTAGTGATATTCTTTTATCCCACCCAAACAGCCTTGAAATGAAATCAGAATATGAAAACGTATTTTAGAGGCGGAGCATCTAAAGCATCCCAGGATGCATTTCATGAAGTTGGCTGATTGAATCTCTATAGAGTGAACAGAATCAGACAAAGAAACTTAAATGTGAGTGTGTTTAGTTTAGTTTTGTGTTTTGTTTTTTTCGTTTTTTTTTTGTGTGTTTTGTTTTGTTTTGTGTTTTGTTTGGTTTGTGTTTTTTTGTTTTGTTTTGATTTTAGTTTTTTTTTTTAAATGTGTTTTGGTTTTGTTTCGTTTTGTGTTTTGATCAGAATATGAAAACTTATTTTAGAGGCGAAGCATCTAAAGCATCCCAGGATGCATTTCATGAAGTTGGCTGATTGAATCTCTGTAGAGTGAGCAGAATCAGACAAAGAAACTTAAAAATAAGTGTTTATTTTTTTGTTTTTGCTTTGCTTTGTTTGAGTATGATTATTTGTGTGTGTGTGCTTTGTTCACTACATAATTCCCATACACATACATAATTTTGAGGACTTTTATATGACTTTTTTTGTTTACTATCTTTATTTAACATTTTAGAATATTGAACAGTGAGTAGTTGTGTCAATTTTTGACATCACAGCTACTGCCGGATTTCAGTGTTTATCTGTACAGCTATTACACTGCTCTGCTCTCTGAAATACTTGCTCAGTCATTCTGCAGTCAAAGCAAGAAATATTGCTATTGATATTATTGGGTAATATTGTTTTTCCCCACCCACACAGCCTTGAAATAAAAACAGAAATGAAAACTAATTTTAGAGGAAGAGAATGTCAAAGGCTCGTACATTTTGATAAAAAATTGTCACATTTCTTTTTTTCAGAATCATTTCTACTGATCAGTTTTGATTTCATATCGTCTAACCATGCAATACCACTCTCAGTTTAAAGGATTTGACCCGCACCACCTGTGTGTCGCTACACTGTTATTTGAGGGGGATCGTGGGAAGGTTTTGCAGCACGAGAAACAGGTTTACGACATCGCAGCCAAGTTTGGGTAAGAAATGGCTCATTTTTGTGTGTTCTTCTAATCTGTGCTGTTTCTATGGAACCAGAGTTACTCTTTCACCAGTAAAGGTCCTAAGGGTCGTGACCCCGACCTTAACTGATCTCACCGATTGTATACCGAAGCACTAGCGTTTGCCTCTGCCTTTTCATTCTCCCTCATTCATCACGGCTCTTTCAGTGGCACTGATGGGTGTGTGAGGAGAAGAGTGAACAGATTGAATGATTTCTGCATTAAAGCTTGTGTTGATTTTGAGAATATTTAATTAGAGGCTGATTGTGATGGATAGAAGGGAATCCCACAGCTGACCTTATTGATCCGCTACTTGTGTGTGTGTGTGTGTGTGTGTGTGTGTGTGTGTGTGTGGGGGCGTGCGGGG